CATACAATAAGTTCTACTCGAAATTACTTTGACATAAAATTAGTTATAATTATGCAATGTTCGGTAAGATGAAAACTCAAGATGAGGACGGGAAACCGAAAAGGTGATTAATAGATAAGAAAACGTTATGAAAATGATCATCTAGTTAATTACTATTCTCGAAACAACCGCCACTCTTACCTGAAGGGTTGTTAAGTATTAATCAATGAAGTATTCCTGCGATATTCTCGCACCTATGCATTTCACAAGAGCTTATTTTCGACGTCACCATCAGATTGATCAAATTCCGATTCAGAGGTTGCCTAAGCCCAAGAGAAAGTCAGTTTTCAGATTAGTCAAAACTTACTTCCAGGTGTGCGAAACAATCGTCTTCGATGACCCCATAATTCAGCAACATCCAGCCACAAACAACGATTACACGGGAGTTCGCTCGATCATCATTTTAAAAAACGTCCGTCGATAGAAATTTGACTGTCAATTAATTCATTCCACTATCTTTTCGGAATGCTGATGTTGCTGTCTTCGACATGTCCAGTAACAGATTAATTTAGCCAAACGATCGATAGCACTGTTCAAGCGTAGTGAATGAACTGGAAGGTGCATTTGCTCTAAAATTTCACTGATAAAGCATATAACGAGAAAATTGACGATATTTGATCAGAAATGTGTTTTATTCAGTTAAACAAGAAGAATATTCCTTAAGAATGTTCAGTTGTTTATGGTCAATGCAGTCACTCAGAATGAATGTTCATATAGAATTTTTGATGCATGTTTGACTACCAAATTGCGTCAGTGAAATTAAGCATTATGAGTTCTACTCCCGAAAAGCGTTGGGACTCCGAAAGGGTCCGAAAAAAAGAGTCTTGGTGGTCATCGACAAGACAGATTTTCAGCGGTGATCAATTCCGGTCGGTGGTCACCGAGGTTCGTTTTGCCGATACCACCGACCGATCGATCAGTCATGTTCTGTTTTGGTCGGTGGCCGTCGAATTTCAGCGTATAGCGACCCGAATCTACTTCTAAGTCTTCACTGGATATTTGCATCTACAACTGATTCGCTCTTTAAATACATGTTGTCAAACGGTTCATCAGATTGTTTCAATGAAAATACGTCTCGCAAACACGCGTGTATTACGGAACATTAAATCAGCCTAAAGTTCAGAATTTGTTCCATCTGAACGAACGAAAATCTTATGGGTTTTTGATGAGATTTGAGAATAGTGTTGACTCGAACGTAGTATTTTCTATTTCCTCATAACAGCGATATGTCATTCTGAATACACTTGCAAGCTGAAACTAGAAATATTTTGTCAGGGTTACGTGTTTTGTTTTCTCGTGATATCAAAAAAAATGTCTGCTTGCCGATAACACTTCAGTGTTCGTTCCAATGTCTTGAAATTGGAAAAGAATCTCCAATTGTACCATGAAATAACAACGTACAAATACACTGATTGTAAGTAATTTCACTCGTTAATTCACCACCTCCAAATGAACGTACATCGTTATATCGATGTATTTGCTGCATTCGGTAATCTGTCATTGTCCAACGATGGTGTCACATGAATATTTTTCCATATCAGTAAAAAAATGAAATGCGAATATTTTCACGCCGATAATCAAGTCCAGCAATGACCGCTGAACACGTGTGAGAGTTGAATGGTAATCTTTTTCATGATACCACTTGTGAACGTATGTGACTTGAATAGTGCACTGCTCAAGTTGAGTGAGCATTCCCAACGGAGCAACATTTTATATACCGCAGTATGACACTTGAAGTCAATAACTTTCATACATATATGTATATATATGTATATACATATTTGCAGATGGATAGATAAATATCTCACTCAGTTGCGATATTATTCAACATTATATGTGAATTACCAGCAACTATAACGCAATGTTTATCATCAGATCCGGATCAATAACTATTCAAAATCAGCTACACAACATTTATATGAGTGATGCGCAAAAATTCGAAACATACTGGAACTACTATACTTAGTTAAGTATTAGATCAGCTAATTGTGAATCAACTTCCTATAGGGAGATTTTTGTTCATCTAGAACATATATCATATTTCTTTGAATAGTAGCTTCGAAGTTCCTGCTTTTAGCAGCTTTCGGAGCTTCTAATCATGGGGGTCATTATTCGAGGGAAACTTGTATTTTTCGCAGCATTCTCCTTCAAGGGTTTTATGCATATGATCTGAGAAATTCTTTTGTTTTTGTGATCCTCGAGCAATCACCACCCGTTTAGAGACGCTTTTCTTCAAAAGATTTTCTATTCTTCGCAGGCTCCGTAAAAGGACTACAGTTGGCATTTGATAAGATAAGGGAATCGCACTCAAATAAACGCACTATCATGTCAGTATGTGTCGTTTTTTGTCAAAATTTCATGGAATATTACAGTCATTTGGGGGTTCTTCAGCATGCGGATGGCTTGAGTGAGAGAATTTTCGTACTTTGAGAACGTAAGTCGTACTGCTGTTGTTGTGCTGATGATTAAATTACACTTCGAAGATAACTATTGGATGCGAAGATAAGCAGTTAAATGCAAATAAATATGTATTCATCACGTTGAGAAGTTACTCATACGATGATATTTTTTGAAGCAGTCTAGCACGAAGCCAAAAAAGACAATTGAATGTATGACGAAAAGGTTATTCACAAATGGTCATTTTTCATACTAATCATTTGAAACAGTCAGCTCAATTCATTCAATAAGTCCGAGATGATTTTGAGAGAAGGTCGAAGGTTTTTCAATGAGCAGCCCGTGGATGTGCATTATGGCGAAACAAGCAACTGTATGACTGAAGTTTTCAAGAATTTAGTGCAATGCCGAAAACAACGGTATCGATGACGTTGATGGAATCGTCGTCACATAATATTTCATTCCTCATCAAATACCAGTTCTCGACGATTATTCAGGTAGACTAAATCATTCAAGGATGATTCAGTGAATCAATCGTCCTACAGTGGCTGCAATCAATCTATTTGGAATTATCATCTCATGATGATTCCGACTGAAGTTCGTACTGAAGTTCATTTGATGCATTTCTATGTAATGATTTTTTTGTTGTTCTCCGATTTGAATTCCATATATCGTTCTCAAATTCATCCAAAGTGTCATCAAACAAAAGCCTTCATAGCGTCCAAACTTATTTATTTCGACGTGCAATATGGTGTGGTTTCTTCGCTTTCGCAGTGCAATATGCAAAGTCATAATGCTTCCCGTTTTAGAAGCAAATCAAAAGCCTACTGATGCTATCAGTAAAAATAGATTTTAATCGAGTAATCGAGCTTGGGATATCAGCGACAGTTTTCGAATAATCGTTTCCATCTTCACGCACACCGAATCAATATTCACCAAATGTTCCTAGAAATAGATGAAAAAGCATCAGAATCCAATAATACAATATGATAAAGTACTATTTTTAATGCTATAATATTTCCAGATAACAAGAATGGTGACTGCCCTTTACTGGTGAAACTTGAGATGCGTCAAAACAGTTTTGGCTGACAATGAGGATGATTATGCAGGTTCTGTGAGTCACTTTTCAACATTTTTTGCTCCGAAGCACTGGCTAAAAAGTTTAGATATCATTGAGTGGAAGTGTTCTGTGAAGCAGTTCATTCTACGAACTGCCTGTCCAAGATCGACTGCTTCTCCATGAAAAGTCAAACCTCAAGTATATCTTTACACAAATCGCAGATGTTCCATCGTTCCAAATTCTTCAAGCAGATGTGCTCAGTGAGTAAGTGCTCTATTGGCATTTTCACACATCTTTATGTGAACTTATTGCAATAAAACGTAAATAAGATGTATCATACAATAATCAAATTATTACTCTTCAACGTTTTCTCTATGCAATAGTGTTGAGTCAGGAATTTTCGTTAGAAAATGATTAGTTCAGGTCATATTTTTTAAAACTCTCAACCGCTCACATCGCATTCTTCACGCTGTAAATCGGTTTTCTTTTCTATCAACAGCTTTATTTCGAAATTATTTTCGTGTGATCGTCTGCTCCGATGAGTAATCGCGCTATTGTTTTTTTCACGCGCAATCAACCCGATAAATAGCCCCGCATTCATCAGTCAGAACCCGTTTGGGTTCCGGCGTAAGATTTATCTGATGCTGATTATTTCTTTGTTTTAATGATCGATTTTTATCCTTTACATACTCAGTGACTACAAAGGCTCTGTCAGCATCACAAATCTATAGAAACACCTCTCCGCAACATTCACTTGATTTTTCACTGATATTGTGATCGAANATTCAGCGAAGTTGTCCTTTGCATTTAGCGAGGTTGTCCATGCTGTAAGTTGTTCAAGCTTGAAAATTTTGTCGTCTTCTAAAGTAAGCGTATTCTAAACTAACATCTGTTAGATGTTATTACTTTCCTATTGTTGACACCCAAGAATTTGAATTCGTCTAAATGGTAATCATCATTCAAGTTTTTGTGAAATATTCGCATTTTGTTCGAATCAATCATCTAGTTTTAATACTGCTCAGAACATATCAATCTTCATTCTCGAACTTGATGTTTGCATACCGTTTTCGATTGGTGGAATATGAATGGAAGGTCTGCTCAAAACTTAATGTGTTTAATTTCCAATATGATTTCGCTGAAAAAACCAATCACTGCTGATGAATTCTTCAAACACTTTCTCTCTCAAAAATGCCTATAAAATGTGGTAAAGTGAAATCAGATCGCAAGTCATATGAATTTTGCTGTTTCAATTCTATCCTTGTCTTGAACGTATTCTGTTTACCAATTTTCATTTGTGAAACGACATTCGTTATTCTAAGTTTATGTCAATAGTTTGCTACAGTTGACCTGCATATTTGACATTATCAAAAAGTTGAGTTTTTTATTTTACCTCTGTTCACATGAACTTTTTTCAACAAACTCGAGTTTCTTGAAATTGCAATCCAAAGAAGATATTCTAAGCTGAATGCATCCATTTGATGTGGTGCTAGTTGACACTGATGACTAATCGCTAACGATACAAAGTTGACTGACTATGTACACCTAGTGAATGTTGGTATTGCAGGCATTGATCATTGAATAAAATTCTTCATGCAATAACTGACGAATTCAACTTGCTGCTATTGTGATGGTTAAGCAAGAATTTCCGAATAGTCAAGTCAGGTGATGTTCTGTTGACATTCGAGAAAAACATTCAGCTGAATACTGTTCGGTTATGGAGGAAAGCTGAATAGTCAATGAACAGCTCATATTTACTCACTGTCAGAAGTGATAAAGAAATTAGATTCATTGTTCGTGTTATTCATCAACATCTATTGTTGAGCGTGTTCATGATAACGCATTTGCAGAATACTAATTTATACGTATTCGGAAATGTTTATTATGTCAAAACATTCCAAAGTATCTCTATAAAAGGTATCGTTTCTAAAAAGGTGTCGTTTCAGTTGATGTAAGTACGGTCTTCGTTCCTTGATCAATTTCAAAAGTTTGATTGTTTCCAACCTCATAAATTATGAGCATTCCGGTTTGATTTCAACATCGATCGAAATTCTTTGTACGAGTGACTTCAGTGTGTTAATCGCATTTACATTTTCCATAATAATTTAACGCTTATATTTTAACTTTCGAACATTTATGATTATGACATTGTTAGACTTTTGTCGAACAAAAGTGATGCTTTCTGGAGTGGTTGATGGCATTCGTTTGCACTTATTGAATGCTTGAATAGCTGCAGATTTTTACGGATCATTCTCCACGATGCGTACTCGCATTTCCGAGTTTTTTCAATATTCGTCATTTTGATTAATTGCAGTGTTGGTGTGCATTCTTTGTTGCTTTTTATTACAATTCGTTCATCACTGAATCGTTGAAATTTCTCAAAATGCTGCTATTCGTTTACGACTCGTTTCATTTTCTTATCACTTCACGAACATTCTTGCTTTGTTCACTGACCCGATCATTCATTTCATCTCGTAAATTCTTTTCATTATTCATCCACTCAATCCATCACCACTTATTAGCATCTAATTCTGCGTTGTGAATGCATTTATATTATACATTTTTTGGAGAATACACATCTTGAATGTTCGTTCACCGTGAGCAATTGTTTTCGTCCCCTTCTGTGGATAAATTCACATCCAATTTTCCATCCTACTAAAGAGCTTTGCTTTGTTCATGACGGCTTCACGAAAATAGTCTTTGGTTCTATTCGCATTGAATAATAGTTGCTTTTTGCCAGAAACGACTCTATCCGCTCTAAGTCTGATTTGCTCCTTAAGGGGGAGATTTTGCATGCTTATTGTTAGTTGAACGAATCATCAAACAGCAATCAATTGATTCGGTAATCTGACTGTGCTTTTGATTTACTGTTTGCTCTCATGACTTTCCTTTGGTGTTTTTTTACTCTGCAAATAGTTTTATTCATACCTTTCATATGTACTTGGCTGTTGTGATGTTGTAAAAAAATGAGAATATTTAGTGTCGCACTGCATTATTTATTCTCTGCAAAATTCTCGTTTCATTGATGTGTTCAATCAATATGTTGAAATGCGGACAGTCGTTTCTGAATCGGTGACAGCAGTACGCAATGAGAATGCCTGATTTGCCAAAGAATAATTATAATGAAAAACTAATAGATTAACTTGCATAAAAGCAATATCTTATTCTGTGTATATCCAACAAAATTCTGTGTATACCCGAGGTCTTCGAGGGCGATCTCTTATTGGTCTGTTTGAGTGTGAAAATATAAGAATGCTTTTCCATCACAGAGTTTCGCTTTAAATTNTAGATTGGTTGGACAAGAGTATCTCCTGCCAGAGTTTCGTCAGAAATTTGATGCGGAACAGAAATAAGCACTGTCGCTTCATCGCTGTCGAATCAGATTGGTAACCCAAAACTGTCTGCGAATTAACACTAACAATAAGAAAAATGATTGAAAATTTGAATCTATGATAAAGAAATAAGAAAGAATTTATTTTTCAGATAACGAAATTGATGCATTCAATCAGTTCGTTGTAACGTGTTGGTTGTCTTATACTTTTCTAGCGGATAATCCGTTCACCATCTCTTAGAGCCTTGATATGAAATTTTGCATTATGAAGTATCACAGAATCGCGCTATGGGGTATCATAAGACTCGGAAATCTGCGGCAAAAGGCAAATGCTCACCAGACAAACAGAAAAGTCTGCTTACCAATGAAATAATACATTTAGCAATGCTCACAGGTTCGCCTATTCGATTGGTTGGAATTTTTGCAGGTTTTTCAGTTAGCGGTTTCACCTCATTAGAATGGGCGGAACTTTTTCACGTCTTCACAAATATGGTCAAAGTCGTGATACCGCGTTCGTTTCTTGCACTGACATGACTGCATTTTCCATCACAGAAAATCATTCATATCTGCAATAACTGCGCATTCTACGGAGTTTACTATAGCATTGAGCCATAGCATGAATATTGCCACAAAAAAACTTGAATCAACCGTCATGTTACATTATTATTTTGCTCGAAAAATAACAAATCTAAAATCTGGTTTTTTGCTATGTTAAGAAACAGGTTCGACATTGGGAAACTTGAATATTTTAGTTTTCATTCCTTTGGTACATTTTTGATCCGGATGCATCTTTCTGTTAATTCTGTAATTGGTGCTTATTTCATTGTTGTGTAAATCCGAATCAGTCATTTAAATCCTCTCAAAAACATCCGTCAAAAGCATCTCAACTCCTTTTAACAGACTGTTTCACGGAACAGAAAGTTAGTTTTATTCAGCAGTCGTCACATCGAATTAACGTGCTCAATCGGTACTTGAACACTCCACTCGCAAGTCACCCACATTCCTTGTCTGTCACATGAATCGTCGTTTTCTTGTCACATTCGTCGATGTTTGCAGCTGCTCTTCATAGGCATTATCAGAGATGTTTCGTTGATCTGATCAAGTTTAACGGATGAAAATATCAAAGCGATACCACCTACACACAACTTCAACTTGACTGCAGAATGGATGTAAAAAAATCACTGAAATTCATTCGCATCCCTTTCTGTTCATTATTTCAGACAACACGAATGCATCATCACATCTATCTACGACAGTTTTCGATTGCCACTTGCCTCTCTCTTAACACATCAAAAACCATCACCTGATCTAAAAAGCTGGAATGGTGCACATGACTGAATACGTTATACGTGAGCGATATCGACGAACTTGGATCACAAATTGGTTCACTTTTGCAATTAGTGTTGAACTGCAGTGAAGTATCACAGTTGATTTAAAAATTAATTGCTGAAATTAATGAGAATGTTGAATTGGTGAAGGGTGATGAAAACGATTGATTGATTGAGTACGTTAAAGGAGTTTTGTTGTTGTGCGTTAAGTGCAGTGTGAATTAAATTCGGTAGACGTGTATGAGCGTTACGTTTTGTTACAATAATGCGCACAGTATCGTATTGTTTGCAATTAAGAAAATTGCATTCAAGGTTGGTACATTATTCCACTTATCTTTATTATACATTACTATATTTTCTTATTAACCATCTCGCATTCTTCTCATCTAATTGTCTCTCTTAACACAATGTAATATTGACACGTAACGATTCGTTTTTTGTCATTTGACCCCAATCAGTTCCCTGCAAATAACTGTCCACCTACAGTATAGTTTAGATCCGCGACACAAATAATAATACAATTTCAAAGTGTTATTCTCATGATAAATATTTCGTTTTTGAAGATGTCTTATTTATACCGCCGATTATTTGAAACTATTTCATTACCTATAAGTAGATCAGAATATTATTATATTGAAGGCTATTATTACATTTGCATTAAGTGTTGGAGATTTTGCTGTGTTGATACGGCCGTACGGCTGTTGTCTCATAACGTCAGTTCGTATTCATCCGTGAAAAAAAANAAAAAAAATTGATTAACGACACCAATATCTTTTTATAGGCTAGTTCTGATTCGACGTTAGACAAAGTTTACCTAAAATAGCATGTGCACATCTCATAGGGAAATGACTCGATTAAGTAGTCATCAATCAGCATTAATTCATTGCGGAAATCGTTCAGCAAATTACGCATACTTCACCTTGCCTCTCTTCAACAAACATTTATGACGATTTTAGAGATGCGAACTCACATCAATAGAATTTCTCATTCAAAGGTACCGATTGTCATTAATATTTCAAAAATTCTGATCAATGGAAATTCAATTACTTGTGAGTTGAACAAAACAGCTGATGAGGTCGAAGTATAATGTGTGCATATATAAGCAAATCAACGATTCGAAATGCTGATTCGATTAACAATCAACTTATTGATGTGAATTGTTTTTCAGTGTAATAATGAAATTGTTGATCTCAACGGTGCTCGTTTTATTGATCGCTGCTGTTATCTACGCTGAAGTGGCACACATTGGTCAGTCACCGCACGGTGTTAATCCGACTCTTTATGATGCTAAGAGAGATCCGATTATACAGTTAGATGCGAGTAGTTTTAACGATACCGTCTTTTGTAACGGTCCCATTGAGAACTGTACAGCATTTCTCATTGAGGTGAGTGTGAATTCTTTGAAGCGGTTCTGGATGAGCTGGGTGGGCTGGATGGGAATTGTTGTCAGAAACTGAGAAACTTTGGGTGCATTGTCTATTTGGGCACGCATTCTCATAACTGCACAATGTGTTCTTGGTACCACTCCAAACGTTAGCTGAAATGCGAGATCAGTCAACACAAGCAATTCAAGGAATACTGATAGTGATTGAAAAGGATTAACGTTTAACTTCTCTTTTTTTTGACAGTTTTATTCGGACTGGTGTGCGCATTGTCGGAGTTATGTACCAATATACACATCACTAGCAAAAGACGTGGAGAGATGGCAAAAGGTGATCAAAGTTGCTGCAATGAACTGTGCTGATCCAGTCAACGAAATGACTTGTCGTGATAATGGAGTGCAGTTCTTCCCCTTCATTAAGGTGCTGCTTTCAAATTGCTTTGTCGATCATTTTTGATCCATCTCAGTCACAATCTATTAAATTTTTTGAAACATTCCAAGGCTATTCCTCATGAAATTTTCATCATCAGATTAGTCGATAACCTGAATGGCTCTTTGTAACTCTGAATTTGGCATTCCACTCAGTCAGTGGCACATTAAAATCATTATTTGGGTGATTGAGCGAGTCAGTTCTGACAGGATTCACGATAAAAATCGTGAAAACGAAGCGAAAACTTATCCATCGAATAACATTGTGCATACCGCAACGCTTTCCCAACAGCTGGATCACATCCCCACAAAAAATTAAGATTAGTTTTGTCTAAGCGATTTTTGACATATGCTATAATATGAGACGATAATGTTGATAATGAAAAAGAAACAGGATATAATGATATAATGAAGTGAATTTCGTTGCAGTACTATCCACGCAATGCAACCGACGCATATCATTCATCCAGGATGCGACCACTGCAAACGTTAGCTGAAATGCGAGATCAGTTAACACAAGCGATTCTCACTGAATACGCCAACAATAAATATTCGGATTGGCCAGTATTTGACTTTCTTGGCGAGTAAGTTTAGATGAATCTTTTCGATGAGGAACCTGAACAGAATGATCCACTTTATGAAGCTTTTTCGTCACATGCATGCTTCAACGGCAATATGAAACACTTGTGAGTAAGCAGATGCTTTCAGCGTGAAAACGTACACAGAGTTATGGAGTGGCACACCGCAATCAGTCGGAAAAATGGCGATTGTTTTTGAAGGTGCTTCGGATTCGTTAATAGGCGCACAGGTGAACGAATCTCTTATACATTCTCTTATCAGCAATTCCCATAATCCTGGTTAACTCACATAAATCCACATTTAAATAACTTAAATCAGCGATCGACAATCGTGACTGAAAGTAATACTCGCTTGTGTTTTATGTGAATGATCGTTGCGAGTTTTGCATTCACGTCGCATTTGCCTTTAAATTAAAAGGCACATCTTCAATTTTCACTGAATAATGAATAGTTGAGTGAATATTCAATAACAATAATTAACAAATTAATGAGTGCTTCACATTCACGATTCGGTCTTCACTGATCTGACTCTGAGTCTTGTTTTAAAGCTGTGAATAACTACAATTGCGTGTGATAATACATGAGCACTTCATTGAGTTTTAGCTGTTACTTGATATGAGTAGATATGATGACGAACTGACCGGAAGACGTTGTTTAAAAAGCCATCCTCTCGTCGAAGCACTTCATATCAAAGACTTCCCAGCAATGGCCATCTACAAACGCGGTGAACGACGACCTATTCTCAATGCTGAGTTCGTCTTTTGATTTCCACACTACATTCCTTCAAATGTTTAATTTCGGAAGTTTACGTATCTTTCATCAATTGCATACATTACTTACGAAATTCTGACGTTTTCGTGGTGATTAATTTTAAAAAATTGAATTCTAGTCACTGCTTTTTAAAGCAGCGATTAAATATTCACAAACTTCAATAATTAGCCATAATTGCGTTCAAATAACTTTCTTGATGTTGATTCGTTTCAGGCTCCGTCGCATGCTGTTTAATGAACTCGAAATGTTCCTCAGCCAGAGTGCACCTCAACACTTTCAAAAACAGCTGTTATCGAATGAAGTACATTCGAATTTTTCATCCATTGACTGCGATCTACAGCCCGAAATGTACGTTGTCACTTCGGCGCTCTTATCCTTTTTAATCTCTCAGTAATATTTCATGGCCGTATTGCATCTATTTCTCATGAGCACGCACGTTTCCCAATAATATAATCTGTTGAGGATATTCAGAAATAACGGCATTTTCACAAACTTGAAACGTATCTCAATCAATCGTACACTTTAGATGTCGTACACGATACTATGTCTCTGAACTGGATATTTTAAAAGCAACGCGCTATGCACTCTACAGAGAAGTGGCTCGTTTTGGTGATAATTTTCGAGGATCAAACCTAACAGCGCTATACGTTTTCATGAGTGCTCTTGCTGAGGTTTCTCCTTTTATTTTTCAATCAGAGTGATCCATATGAAACAAGCTTCACGAATCGAATTATTCATATTTGTTCATGTTACCTTCTCCAACAATTTAAGCAATTCCTTTAGCGTGCCTCATTTGTGAGATTTATCGAACACTTCAATGCAAGAAGAATATTTCAAACAGTGATTCATTTAAAGTTAAAGTTCAGTTTTCACAGACTTTTAATGTTACAAAAAACACTGAAATTTGTGACAGCAAACAATTTCAGAATTTCCCTCGCACCACGACTCTGCGCTCAACAAACGAAAGTGAGGTTAGCGCGTGTTCGAAAGCAAATTTGCAAATCGCATCCTCTACTTGTTCTACTAAAAAGTTCTCTGAAAGACCACTTAGTCGATTGTGTTAACGTGTTCTCTTCATTTTAGTATAAATCTTTCATTTTGCTCCAAATCAGTTTCCTGTTGAGCGTTTCATATTCGCATAGTGTTGAATAGATTCA